GCGATAAAGGTTACTACCTGGGACTTTGGTAATAATGTGAGCAGTACTCAGTTCGATTACGCTTATTTTTGTGTGGGGGAAATGAGAGATCATGGGATATGTCATGTGATATTAATGGACGAATTACGGTTCTTTAATCGGAAAAGGGGGGAATTTGGACAATATCCGTGGATGTATATTATTTTGTATTAGCTTCATTGTGTGTTGTGTGAAGTAGGTTGAATAATTTGGGATTGTATGGCGCTGTCTAAAGTGAATTGTAGATGTGATAAAGAGAATTTTTTTTTTATCAAATTCTATCAATTCGGAAAAAAATCGTTCAGTAATTTTATTGAATCCATAATAAAAGTGTAATCCACCATGTAAGGAAGATTCGGAAGAAGATTAGGTTAGTTAGACTTGTTAAGAATGTGAGTAGTATTCCGTTCTGATTACACATTATTTGTGTGAGGGAAATGAGAGATTATGGGATATATTATGTGATATTAATGGACGAATTACTGTTCTTTAATCGGGAAAAAATCTGGCAATTTTGTATTTGGCTTATTCTGTGTTGTGTGAAAAATGTTTGTGAATTTTTGGATCCCATGGCCGTAACTAAAGTGAATTCGAAATGGGTATTTAGTGGTATTGAAAAGATAGTAATAAATGTTTTTTAAGGTTGTGCGAGAGAGAAATAAAGATGTTTTATTATGTTATTTATTTACCTGGTATCTTGCTTTGAAAGATAAGTATGATTTTAAAGATTCTGAAACAGAAGTAAGAAAAGTGTATCCGCCATGTTAAGCAGATTCTGAAGAGATTAGGTAAGTTAGTATTTTTAATTATTTGAGGATATTATTTTTATGCATTGTTGTAAATGTAAGGTGGAAAGGAATTTGGTATTATTGGGAAAATTGTTATTAGCAATGATTTAGTTTTGAAGTAATTAGGATTGTAAGGTAATTTTTATTAATTTAATGTATGTGCTCATTTATTTTAAGTAGTGTTTTTGAATTTAATTATATTTTAATGAAATGATAGTTATTTTGTGAATTTTATGTTTGTAGGAATTTGGTATACGTTTAGGTTGAAATAAATGTGCATGGAAATAATTTAAATATTTGATATTAAGTATTTGTAATGCTTGAGGTATGAATTGGTTGGTGACGTGTATAATGTAATAGATGATTTAGAGGTAAAAGTTTTTGGATATTTTATTTATTTTATATGTGAAAATGTTCATATTTGTAAAGGGTAAATACTTTTTCGCGATCAGGTAATTTCATATATGTTCTTTTTACCGGGTTTAAAGATTGAGAAAATTGTCATGTATTTTCGTGAAATTTTTATAATTTATAAGAAAAAAGCAGTGTACATGGATATAGTGAAGAGCGTGCGCAATGCCATTTTTGTGCAATTCTGGGATTTTTTTTTAAGTAAAAATAAGTCGGCGTGTACATGGTTTATGTGTATGTGTTTTTTGAAAAATGCGTAAGGAGAATGGTATTGTGCAGTTTTTCCTAATTTTGCAGTGAATATTTGTAATGATTAAGCAGTTTTGTTTGATAAAATTTCTAGCATAAGTGTAATTTGGCTAGAAGATTGTTGGAAGAAGTGTTCAGGAGATAAAAAGAAAAGAAACATGTCTTTACTTCGTGAAGACAAAATGGCGGCGGGGGAAAAAAAATAGAGGGTTGCTGTAGGAGAGTTGGTCGCCAAATTTTCGCCAAAAAATCGCCAAGTTACCATAATGTAAAGATCAACCAAGCAGTTTTGTTCCATAAAATTTCTAGCATAAGTGTAATTCGGCTAGCAGATTGTTGGAAAAAGTGTTGAGTAAATAAAAAGAAAAGAAACATGTCTTTACTTTGTGAAGACAAAATGGGGGGGGAATAAAATAGAGGGTTGCTGTAGCAGAGTTTGTCTCCAAATTTTTGCCAAAAAATTGCCAAGTTACCATAATCCAAAGATTAACCATAAAAAGATCATGCTTTGTATCTGGTGTGATTGCCATGGTATTATCCACAAAGAATATCTGGAAAAAGGTAAAACCCTCGACAGTAAGGAGTACATTGAGATGCTAGTCCGTGTTGACACTACTACCAAGAAAAAACATCAAAATGAGTTCTGGCACAAAAGGGTAATGTTCCATCAAGATAATGAAACACCACACGTGTCTTTCCAAACAGGGTCCTAGAGGAACTAGGAAAGTGTACAAGCCGAATACCACAAACGGTCTTAGCTCTAACTACACTGGTCAAAATTTCTGTTAAAAACCGTTTAATTTACGCAATACATGAGTGAAAGATAAATGAATGAACTACAAACAACTTCTAACCAATACAGTCAAAAGTCTTTAATCCGGACTCGTTGGGACTTTGGCGATTTTGGATTATCGTTTTTTCCGGATTATAAATCATCAGTTTAAATCTGGTTAGATGGTATACAGAAATTATAAAATTAAAAATATGAAACCGTAATTTATGAAATAAAGAACAATTATGATCAAAAGGGTATCAAAATTTACAAAAAAAAAAAAAGAGGCTTAATATTTACTTGTTTACTTCATTAAACATTTCCTTCAATACAAGTTGTTAAGTTGCTTCTCTTGTGCCATATACTTTCTCTTTAATTCTATAGACAGGACATAATTTCCTTGTTTAGTTACAAAGTTCCGCTTTTGTTCAAGTCCTGTAATTGCTATGTCGAGAATACGACTAACTTGTCAATAAAATTTTTTTCATTTTCAATAACGTCTGCGTCACTTTCTTCACTATTGGAAGCGAATTATAATGACGAGGAATTTTGATTTAAATCATATCAAAGACGAAGTACATTGAGATGAAATACTACATTTAGTAAGGAATTATAGCTCCAGTATCTGAAATTCTATTTTACATAATCGAAAGTTCAAGCTTACTTTTATAAAATTGCTCTAACAGTCTGCAAAAAATAATAAGCCAGATCCAATTCGAAGATTAAGGAACAATGCAATCTGCAACATTAACTGAAACAAATAATTAGATAATTTTAGCTTAGCTTATACCGTCTGTTATACATTAAACATGCATGCGTAAACGTATTATGCAGAAAATTTGTAGCTTTGAGGTCTGGATTAACGACTTTTGACTGTATATATTCAGCCACAAATAGTATATTCAAGATTTGAATAATAAAATTTTCACCACTTTCAGTTTTATAAGTGGCAGAGATGAGTTTAACAAACAGTGGTTTTTCTTTCGATCAGTTTATATGTAAAAAAAAAAAAAAAAAAAATGAATAAAGAATATGTACAGGATAATTAGCAGCATAAATTAATTTCCCTTCTCTGTTCAAAAATAGTAATCTCTCTTTGCACTGCATCATTTCGAGACTAATCTATGTCATATGACTCTTATCTAATTCTGATGATGTAAATGGTACTAAAACAGCCAATAATGATTTCACAGCATATTATTATCCAATCAAAATTCACTGAAAACAAAAAGCTTTAAAATATAAAAAAACAACAAGCATCCAAAATTAGGGATGGCAGAATTTTTAGAATTTAGGAGAGGTACTGGGTTAGAACTGGAAACCGTGTTAGAGAATTTAGAGAACCACAGAGCAGAAGAATTTAGGGCCTACAAAGATTGCACTGCATCACGAAATGATTTTAGGTGTGGGGGAAGGCCTTGGTACTCCTTCCCCACCACACATACACACAACCACTAATTTATTTATTTTTTGCCCCTGTGCTCCAGAGGTTTGCATATTGGATGTCCAGATTTCAGACTATACTGTATCAAAAAACTCACAACTTCTCAAACTGCACTCTCATGTTTTACTAATATATACAGTAGCCATCAATATCAACTACAATTTTTCAAATAAAAACATAATACCAGTTAATTTTTAGTCAGGTGCATAAGATACCTGAATTACTTAAGTGAACATTAAAAAAATTTCTGCTAAAATAGAAAGTATATTAAAAAATGAGGTTTACAGTTTTTATTTTGTAATTTACAAATAAATAAACACCTATGTTTACAAAGCTTGGGCATGCAACCATTTGATTCAAGCACCTACAAACTAAGAAAAAATTCTCACTAAAAATTTCAGCAAATAACCATTATAAGATGGTTGCATTTATATGCAACCACCCTGCTGTAATATGCTGATTTTTTAGAAGAAAAGAATGGTGACATAAGTCATCGTTCATTCCGTAAAAGTTACTTACCGCAAGTTGGCAATTCTGGCATTTTTTTTAAAAAAAAAAGATCCCCAAACAATTCATATTTATCATAAATCAGCAAACATTATCAAAGAAAACACACTACAGCAATTCAAAATATATTTAATTATGAAATAAGGTTCTGCTGTATGCGTACAAAAATGGCGACAACTTGACCGAAGAACTGTTATGTATACGACTGTCAGAGTATGACACAAAATGAAAATTTCGCAAATTTTGATATGGTGGTTGCAATAATACGAAAGTATCCGTTATAACTGCTTTAAAAAATTTACTGATAATTCTATTGACTTCTAAAAGTTATTAACATGAATTTATTACGAATAATTAAGGAAACTGCATTCTTATGCAAACAATCTGTATTCTTATTTTGCCACAATTCAATTTGGAACACATCACAGAAATTGAAGGGGGAAAAAACCTAAAGAATATTTACTTTAAGATGAAATGGTATAATTGCATTTAATTTAAAAATTATATTTACATTACTAACCTTGCATCTTTGAATGTAGTTTTAGCATTTAACTATATCTAAACAGTTAAAACACAAGCTCTGTTTAGGTTTTCACTTCATTAAATAATAAAATAAATTACAAAAATGTTTTCCTCTCCTTTATACACTGAATAGCAATTTAAATATAATAACAACTGATAATTTAAAATAACTGTAAAAGCAGCACCACTTATGAAGCATGGAATTTTCACCTTAAATAATTAAGGCTGATTTAACAATCTTTAGAAATCATTAATATTGACAAATTTTAAAAATCAACTTCAAACTTACTTGAGGAAATACAATTGCCCTGTTGCAGTCTTCGCTCTTTCCCAGCCTAAAGGAAGTGGTATACTATCTGTAATGTCGTAACTCTGCTGTCGCAAATGTTGATGTTGGCCTGCATTTGTGTATGTTTGCTGAAGTGATGCGGGAGAAGAATGGGCCCTGGGATGATTAATTGGCAGCCCACTAGGATGTTGCGGTGGTGGAGAACTCACAGAGTTATTGTTATTACCTTGATTACTACTCGTATTTACATTATTACTACTGCTATTGTTGTTCGGTGACAGTGGCTGAGGTGGCGGGCTAGAGTAAGTATTATCAGTGCTGGATTCTCTGCTATGAGATGCCGACTTAGATCCTCTCTCAGGCTGTTGGAAAAATGACGGTGGCAGATTACGAAGTCGCATAGGAATACTTTGATGAACCTGGTTTCCTTTAGGTTCCATTACAGCCTTAAAAAGATCATCTAAGTTTGTACCACTGTCACTTCGTATCCGCACAATTTGGTTGGGCCCTTGCTGCTCGATAACATCCCGCTGTTGGGACATCGTGAATAGCAATGTAATGATTCCTGAATTACTATATATAGAAAAGGTAAAAACAAAATAGATTACAGCCCTAGAAAATAAATTCTGCTAAGTCCAACTTGCACTCCATGCAAAAGTAAATAAAAACAACTCAAAAGCTCCTAACCACTACATTCGCTTCACTCCAAATATGCACAACAACGTGCACGGACATTGCCATCAATGACTGAGTAATAGAATGGCTAGTGAACTCTTTTCCAAAGAGCGTACGAATGCAGCGCCATGCATAGGTTCTACAATTTTTTGCTTTTATTTTTATGCTTCGTTTTCACAGACTTCATATTTTATACGTATTTCTATACGTATTTATTTCTCTACGTTTGTATATTTCTGCAGTGTTTCCTGTGAAAGAGTGGTCTTATATAATTCGGAGCATAACAAGCACTAAAAGTTGCAAACTTGCGGCAGCCACAAAAATTTTGAAGTTTATCAAAATGTGTCGCTATGTCGTATGTGTATTTAATCAGTATTACACTGCATTAGAATCAATTATTAGAGCAAGAGCTTAGCAATGGAGGATAAAAAAAAAAGTATCAGATTTAGCAGGGCTTTCAAGTGGAGCTTAGGGAAGACTCCCTCAGAGACCATACAATTTAGAAGGAATGGACAGAAAAACGGAAAAGGAACGGGGATATTTACAAGAATAATTTATAAAGGAATTATTAAAAACGCAATTTCATGTATTTGGAACCTCTTCAAAGCATATATAATATTTTGTTTGTACAATTTTATGTAGACACCGAATGGTAACGAAAAACATTTTATTAGAATGATAATGTTTTAAAAAGATAAATATCTTAAAATAATAAAAAATTGTCTTTAAAATGTAGTAGAAGAAAAGTTATTCTTAAACAGAAAAGTAATATTTTCTGATGTAGCAATTGCTACATACTAATTGCTTTTATCATTGATTTCCGTGAACATCTTCAAAAACTCGCTCCGACGTGTGTTTAGTGTTCATTGCCTCCTAAAGCTGCATTCAGACGGCGGCATAAAGGGCCGATGCTATTCCCACCAGCGGTGCGATTAGCCGCTTAAGCTATTCGCACCAAGGAGGTTAGAATAGAAGGAGGGAAGGTTCAACTCAAACGGTGAAGCTTGGCGGCCATGTTCCTGTAATCGCTGTGACGTGTGCAAGGAATTCTGTAACTGCAATATTTTTTTTTTTTTTTTTTTTTTTTCTTTTCTTTTTGAAGGATTATGAGCTTGTGTTGTATATGGATGCACAAACAGATTTTCGAAAAAGATTCCTGGGATTACTATTCACGCGTAAGTATTGATTTTTTTTTTTTTATGTAATTTGATAACTTAGGTTAAAAATATCACAATGCCATGTTGTTTTCTTTCCAGATGTGAAAAAAAAAAGACTTAATAATAACTAAAATATGTTAAATACATTTTAATGTTTCTATTTATAGCTGGCATCCTCGTTTCTTAACATACAATGATATATGCTAGGATTTAAACTGTATAATTTGAACGGTTTAGGCAATTCGTTTTATAATATTCATGAAAAGCAAGAAATCAATTAATGCTATTTTTATGAATAGAAGGAGAATATAAAATTATGCAGTAAAGGTGTTAAATAAAGGAATGCTTTTGTTTATATGTTAATTATTATTATTCATTTTTAAGATTTGTGAACTGTTCCGAATATAATTTGTGCATTTGATCAAGATAAACTGCTCTGCTGTTAAAATTTTTTTGCATGAATATACAAATTTCTGGGCAGTATAGTGATAAAAGTAAGTAAAATATTTACACAACTGAACACGTGGAAAGATGTATCCAAAAATATAGGTATAGTATAATTGAGCTTAATTCAAGGCAATTTCTTTGAGATTCATAAATATGAAACGCGCATAAATTGAAATCACATACATCTGTTTCATTTTATTAATATTTATTTTCTTGTTGTTATAAGGTTGTTGGTTGTGAAAAGAATCTATTTAAAAGTTTCATTTTTAAAAAAAATGCAACCTGTGGCTATTTTTTAGATAATTATCTGCTATTAATTTCAGGTTAAAATTATTTTAAATGATTTTTTAACAAATTACAGTATTTTGAATAAATCAGAAATATCACTTCTTAAAGGAAAAATTTGAAAGTACACCCAACAGGTTGCTAGTAAAACCTAAACAAATTCTTGAAATATGCAGAAACATTATTTTTAAAGGCTTTAATGTTATGCACATGCATTTAGATTCCGAACTATTTCTTAATGATTTTCTATACGTAATAAATTACGGATATCATCTTTATAACTTTAAAACAAAAAACTAATAATAGCGAAGCATTTCATTATAAATTTTACATATTTTTAGTGAACAATACATGCACGGAACAGCTTAAAAACACGTCCGTTTCACTGCTGTAACGCAATGTTTTGAAGTTACAAACATGGACGCCGCTTGTTCGGTGGAGTTTCATTCCCCGATAGTGGAGGAAACAGCGAACCCTCCCTCCTTCTATTCTAACCTCCTTGATTCGCACCAACATTAACCACGCATGCGCAATTCTACGTACGCGAACTGTTGTAGTATCTACTGTTGTAATGTCTAACTAATTTTTTTTTTTTTTTTTTTTTTTTTTTTTTTTTTTTTTTTTTTTTTTGAAGGCGGGTTACTACCTTGGCGTAGTTTATCATTTTTTAAGCGTTGGCGACTTTCAAAAGTTTAGAAAGGAAAATGGGTTCCTTTTCTTATAAAAAGAAGGAACACATTTCCTTTTATTAAAGTACATATAAAAAAGGTTAGATTGTTCGCAATGTTTATCGTTTTCCTGAACGGTTGAAATAGTTTAAATGACTGATTGGGGGGGGGACAAAATCTTGTTTACATTTTTTGTACATTTCTTAGAATACATTTAGCTTCAAAGATGTGTTTTGCGCAATCAAGACTTTAATTCATTCCTCTTTGAAAATCTTCGTCCGTGGAAAGATATATAAAATTAGACAGAGGATTTTCTGTGTAGAAAATTTAGACATGAAATAAGCGATTAAAAGCGATTAAATGACTAATTAATCACATAATACTGGTTAATTAACAATTCTGTATGCCTGTTTATTTTTTTTTATGGAAATTCCTTGGCATTTTCAGGACACATAAAGTACTTCAAAGAACTTTGAAATATTAATACAAACGCATAAATAAATTAAATTGAAATAATAATTTATTAATGTGTAATTTAAAAGACAGAAAAAATTTAATGTAAGAGATTTAGATTTAAAAATTTGCACACAGAAATGATTTATCAGATTGTATAAGGTTTTATTTCATAAATAACTTTGATTTTGAAATATGGCATTTGAACCTATAAACATGAGTGGATACTGAAAAAATGATGAATATATAAGAATATTATAATTTTCAGTAAGTTTTCTTATTGAATAATAAATTCTGACAGTCCTATGCTATAAGACTAGGGTCTAAGTTTGCATAAAAATTCCTCTGTTAAATAAAAGAATTTTAACTAATTTCTGTAGCCTTTTGTCAATACATTAAAGATTTTTTAACTAATTACTCGTTGCAATCAAGCCTCGAGGGCTATCTGCCTAAGGGGAGGGATGCCTTCGTGGAGGACTTTCTAAGGAAAACTGGCTCGTATACACGTTACACATGGGGAAAACCACGAAAACCCCCATGCAGCCAGCCCGTTCGCGGGATTCGAACCTCGGACCGAACTACCAGTGTTCAGCGACTTTACCGCTCGGCCGCTGGTGGGCCGTTTGCAATTAGAACCATCATTAAATCCCTATTTTATCTAATCATTTCCTGAACATTATCATGTATATAGATTGATCTCGTCTTTATAACCGATAATTATTACTTGCAAATTATTCTCTTGCTGGTGAACTACTAACAACCCTTTGTATACTGAGTTAGGATTAACAACCTTCGCTCTCGCCTCCGCCTGCCTTACGGAAATCAGCGTAAAATGCTGGTACCTGGGCTGATTGTGCGGATGCGCGAACGTAGGTGATGTGTATAGCCTCTTAGCTATTCGCAGCGTCGCTGCGATTATCCACTGCGGGCATAAAGAGCATAGAAGTATAGACATAAGGGCATTACAAATACGAGAGTTCAGTTCAAACCTGCGAGACGATGGTCTAAGCTGTGGCCAATGAAACAAGCTAAATTTGCGCATGCGTGGATGCGCCTACACCTTTCGCGCGCTGTGTTTCAGCTCGATTGATTTCCCGCGCTCGCTCTGCTATTTTTCGTTATTTTGCGTCATGACTTTTTCAGCTCATGACAAAGTTTTACTTGTTCAACAGAATGCTCTTTTATCTGTCCTTCTTATAAGCCAAGACGCAACGGAAGAAGGTAAAGAAAGAAAAAGAACGAAATAGTTTAGAGATATTTTCTTTGAAATGCCAATACTTTGTTGGCATATAGTTCTGTGCAAAGCAGTATGGGATATTTCTCCATTGTTTTGTAGTACTCTCTATACTATAAACTCGCACGTGCATATTTATATATATAAAACCTTCTTCAACTTTTATATATAATTTCTCTTAGGAGAAATACGATATTCTAAATATGCCTAATTAAAAAAAAGTCTTGACGATAAGTGACACATAGCCTGTATAAAATATCTTTTCCATTTATTTTGCAGGTGTGAAAGCAGTTAAGCGGAAAATAGTACTTACCATACATTTTTTTTTTTTTTTAATTTTCAATCAAAAGGAACATGTTTCTGTGACACGACAGTAAATAAGGAGTACTAAACTCCTTATTCATTGTCACTGTCGATCACTACAGTAGCAATATCAATTATCTGCACTACCAGTATCAATTATCACTAGTACTAGTATCCCACAATTGGTCACCATGACCAGCAACCACAACTAGTACAATACTATAAAACGTTCACCCAACAATGTATTTTATGCTCAATCATTAAATGCATTTTGCTGAGTGGCCAGCTGTTTGTATACATCTATTTCTAAAAATTTGCATGCATAAGCCGCACCCCTGAATTTCATATGTTTTTTCTGAAAAAAAAAGGGGGAGGTTACACTCGAAAGACTACAGAACATAGTAAACAATAACTTTCAGGAATTTTTATAGATAATTCTGAAAACTGGTATGTTTACATCATATCAGTAATTCAAATTAAACTCTGCTCTGCTGTGAGATGTCATA